AGCCACAACTAAGAAAAACAAACAAGCATTTCTTCTACTTTAACAAATAACTCATTTCATCACATGACTCGGGAAAAATAAAAGCACGGTACAGATGCCCACCTATGTCACGGTGGAAATCAAAAAACATCTCATAGTAAAAAAAAATATAGCCGAAAACTTACTATGAGATGTTTTTTGATTTCCACCGTGACATAGGTGGGCATCTGTACCATGCTTTTATTTTTCTTGAGTCATGTGATGAACAAGTATTGTTAAGTAATATTAACTATGAACAAGACTATCGTTTTCTTGTAAACTAAAAATGAATAAAGAATCGACTACATCTATCAATGTCAAACAACATCTCATTTTTGATGAACGGGTCTTTGTGATGAAAATAGAGATCAATATTATAGACAAGACGTTCGATAGCAATTATAAATAAGTAAAATATAAAAAAGAAAGTGTAAAAATTAGATGATGATCAAAAACATGTCAGTCTAAACTTCTAATACTCTGTCAAAAAGAGTACTTAATCTCATTTTCAATGTTAAACATTGATTAAGTCAACATCAATCGTTTGTAGTCTCTCTACTTACATATTTGAATTATTGTTCCTTTCATTTTCTTGGGTATCTTCTTTCAAATATTTTTCTTAATATTTTCGAATTGGTTGAATTTATTTTATTTTATTAAATGTTGAATTTGTTTGTGATATTAATAAATGTTTTTCAATTTCATTAATTAAATGAATCGTCTGATCAATATAGATATGGACATGTTTATCGATATTCCAGAAAATAACGATGACGGTGTTTGTTGTTTACTAGCTTCAGTTAGATTTAAACTCAATGGTATTTCATTATCTAAATAGTATTTTAATGAATAAACATCAACCAAGGAAAAAGCTTGTTCAACTAATAACAATGTTCCAGGTTCAATATTTCTTTTCGCATAAACACCATACGAATATTTATCATAGCCATTTTTAACAATTTCATCTGGTGCACATGGACGAATTTCAAAATAACCATGCCGTTGAAATTGTGCATGAATATGTTCAATATAGAACAACGATGTTTGTTGACGTTTTTCATTAGTATTCGTTGATAAATTACAGAACTATTCATAAGAAAAGAAAAAATATTAATATTAAAAAAAATAATATTAAAAACTGAAGATTGTACTTGTTCAAAAATATTTTCTAAATAATAATTACCAGTGATTTCTCCTTTTAAACGTATTAATTCATGTTCAATAACTTCAAAACGTTGATTATAAATATTCAATGCGTCTGGTTTTAAAATATATTTTCATTTTTTCAAGATTATTCCAGCTTGATTTAATGAATTTAGACATATCAACGAACATATAAAAGGATATAAACATTTGGCAAATATGTCGTCAATTTGAGACTCCGTTTGAGTTAATGATGACTCAACAATTCTACTAGCATGATAACATTTTAATGCATCAAGACAATCTTTCGTTACTGGGTCATAATGATGTTCATTGAAATAACATATAAAACAATTTGATAGTAAACGAACTTCATCTTTGTCATCAAACTGAACAACAGACTTTAATGTAGATGATTGTGCAAATTTGAATAAAAAATGCTCTAGAAAAAGAGAAAAAAATTCAGACTTCATCAATTCGTTTATAGTCTGATAAAATGATACATTTTCTTCGCTACTATCACAGCGCGTTTTAACAAAAAAGACGATACCTTGAAATATTTATTTCAATTGTTCAATCATTATCGTTATTGACAGCAAGCTGAAGTTCACACCTAGTTCACAGACACTAATCTCAACACACTCATGTATGTAAATTTTATACATCAAACAAATTAGCTTTCCCGCTCATCTTTTCAAAAAGAAGATCTCAATTTTAATATGCATAGCTGTCTTCCTTTCTTTTATGTGCTACATATTTTATCCCACCATGTCACAGTAATTGTCCGTTTAATTATCTACTTGACTGAAGTTTCACAGTATTCCTCCATAGTTTTTTATTTTTGAGATTTTCAGAAATATGTTCAGTGTATTTTTTCTAGAGCAGCACAAAGCGCATCTTTTGAAATGAAAATTCAGATTCGTGAAAGTAACAAAAAAAGTTATTATGAAAATAAAAAGAGGTTTATTTAATTCGGGACTTATCTAATTGGCTCACCCGCGCGGCTTCTTACATCTACCGCGGTTCTATACTGATTTCGAAAACCATTTTAGACCACAGTTTTCTATTGAAAAAGTTTTTAAAGAATATAAAAATTTTTTGTTATATACAGGTCGCTACAAAGACAGCAATTAGCTACACAGAGATGGATAAGAAAACAAAAATTAAATGTGTATCTGGAGTAAACAGTTAAACGTTAAAAAATATTATTTAGAAAAATAACCAGCGACTTACTATAAAATAAAAATAGTTAATTAATTCCTAACAGATATAGCTCGGTAAAAATATATTATGTACAATTATGGCAACAAATAGATTTAAGACAATCTAATAATATCTCCTAAGTACACAGTAATCTGACAGATGAAGAATTTCGAACAAAATTAGAAAAAGAGAAAGAATGTACACACTAAAGAAAAATATACGCATACACCTCTATAAATTAAAAATACAAAAATACTCTTATGTTTTTAATCTGTCTGCTGCTGGCGTCTACATTGTTAGCAGCCATCATAAAGCCATCACTAATTGTGTGCTATATGGCGGTAAACCTGTCAACAAATATAAAGAAAACAATGAGAAAAAAATCATATATGAATAGTAGAAAAAAATTAAAATAAACCACATAGAGATAAAAAGAAGAAATAGGTAGGTAAGCTGTTCACGATTACATCGATTTAGTTTTAATTTTTTTATTTTTAATTGTGAATTCTGCTCCTTTCGCTGTTTGGTTTCGTTTACGTTTGGTACTTGGTTCTTTTGTTGCGACGTTTTCTTGTGACGGTTGCTTTTCTGTAACCAAACTATTTTGATTACTATCTTCATTTAATTCATATTCATCTGAATGATCTAGAAAGCAAAGGAAATACAAATAATTAGGAACTAGAATAGAGAAATATCGATTTTCTTTGCGTAAAGCGACCTATAGGTAAAACATCTGTAATGTAAAGTCTTTTGGATGGAAACCAATAAGGTACGTTCATATCATGTAAAATATAAAAGAAACAGTATATAACAAAGAGAGGAAAGGATAACACGGTAAAATATTGCCTGGAGACTCACTCGCAGATCACTGTCTCCGCTCCCCCTGTTTTGTAGTATAGGTAGGTCTCCCTTATAAAGGCCTCTATCTGTCAAGGTTGGCAAAAACATCTTTTTTTATGTATTATCCTTTAAATACACTTTCTGCCAAACCCGCATATTCAAAGAGGTATTTTATTATTTACCTAACGAATACGGATTTTTAATGAAAGCAGGATCATTATTCTCTTTATTATTTGACGATAAACGGTTCGCTGTTGATATTTTTCTCGGCTTCGGTGATTTTAACATTGTTTCATCTATTTCTTTAACGTATTTCGCATATAATGGACTTCTTAATACAGCTAAACAATCACGAGTTATATATGTCTTAGTACATGTATCAATACGTTTAAACGTGTCATAATAGTCGTTAATATTTTTGATACCAAATTCAGATAAAGTAAGCCCAAATTCAATCTCACTTTGTTCTTCTGATGCTAAACATTTTAAATATGATTTACAAAATTTTGTTTGATTTGCTAAATATTCATCTTTTTCTATTATTAATCTATATTCCTTTAACACATTAATAGCTTTAAGAGCATTATCCACATTTTTACCATTTGTTCTTCTACTCAAGAATGATTTTGATATTATAGGTGTTTTAAACATTAAAATCTTTCCAGCTAATCTCATTATTTCAGGACTTGCACGTTTTACTTTTTGTGAAACAATACCCAGCAGTAATTGTGGATGTTGAACAGCTACAAGGAAGACGAAAAAAAACAAACTGACAATAATAAGTTTCTGAACAATAAAGATTGTAAATCTTTTACAGAAATATGTAGCAGAGAAGTGAAGGATGAGGTGCATTTAAAACATACGTGTAATCTAAATCGCGCTTTGCTTTTATCCGAGCTTCGCTTGTATCGTGGTGTATACAAAATAAATTTATGGTTGACACTCTACGGCCAAGCTTGACAAAAAATTTACCATCTGAGTAGTTTCTCAATTTAGTTTCTTAGATTTAGTTTTCTTTTTTTTATTGTGTTTCTATGAAAATTTCTACATAGTCTAAGATATTTTTTGTTATAACTTGAGCACTAAAAAAATATTACGTTCTTTCTCCCAACAAACTGCGAGCGCATGATATTCACGGGGACCAAAGTTTCTTTCCTTCGAATTCCGCACCGAGACCGAGACAAAAAAGTACTGGACCCAAATAGTGAACCTAACTTTAGAAAGCATTTTTAATCAACCTGTTATTTCACCATTCACATCCACTGAATTTTCTCCATCGCAAGTTTGATTTCTTATTGTATCTGATTGCATACTTAACGACGTTCCTGTCAAAAATGGTTCTAGAACGAAAAAAGCACTAAATAAGCTTTTCATGAATGCCTTCACTTCAGCTATTTCAAGAATTTTATGTAAATGTTAGAGAGAACGTGGCAACGAATAGTCGCTTTACTTAGCAGACTGCTCCTAAGTTAAATCCCTTTACAGTAATGTACGAGATGTTCCTAGAACACAGTTTAAAAATTGCTGGAAAAAAACTAACATTTTACTATGCAGGTGTTTTTATTTATTGTTTTTTCGCAAAAATAAACCATTCCGCATCGTTTTGTCTACAGACAACACGTACTTGACAATTAAAAACAAGACTTAATTTGGCTTTCTCGCTATGAACTATTGTGTGCCAATAGGAATGGAGACGCTAGCACTACACTGACACTGTCAGTGTAGTATCTATTTGAAACAGATCAGTCCGCAGCAAAGTACAACGATTATTTTCAGCAAACCTGTAACTCCGATATCTATATCCATTGTATCTTCAAATAACTTTGCTGTTGTTCTCGTTGGCGTCCAGCGATTTAACGGCATTGTTATCTGGCGATTACCTACAATTCAAAAATCAAAAAGTATTTAATTATCCCATTTATTGTTACGCGAAGACGGAAATTTTCGCCAACGAGTATCAACAAACCTATTGTTGTTTCATTAACAATAGCTTGCGCGTGAATAACAGACACACTAGTTTCAGCTTGGTTTGCAACTGGAAATGTATCCAAATTTAATACAACTGTATCAAGTATTTCATTCAACCCTTCGGTGACGCATGTAGTAATATCTGTAAAGGGAATAATAGTAAACATCATCAAGAAGACTGTGTTCTGTTGACGAAAGTTATCGTCCATCATACCATCAGTTGTAACTACCATTGTGTTGTTTATTAATTCAACATTACCGTTAGATACTGTTTTATTGATATCTTCTTGAAGAATAATACGAAAACCTTGTGTGCTATTTGGTACTATACGAAAAGTACTGCGACCTAGAAAACCAATAAACATAAATTTCACACAGAAAACTACTTCGCTAATTATATCCTCTTTCTGATGGCATACTTTATTTATCACCACTACCGACGTTGGATTATTCGTATTTGTTATAATATATTAAATACGAATAATACAACATTATTATAGGTTGAGTTTATCTCGATCTATAACCACAATTCATTTCATACGAATAAAAATTAACAATTATAGTGGACACTATCTTACTGAGCCTGCTTCAGCAGAAGTAACAGTAACAGAATTCCTACCTGATACTTGTCCAGGGGCCATTGTTTCATTACGCATGCCCGTAGAACTACTTTTATGGTTTTGAATGGCATCAGCAGTAGTTGTGACATTGTTTAATTGATTAAGTGACATTATCGTTTCAGCA